TGGCCTGTGGCCCTCCACGCTGGCCTGTGGCTGTGGCCCGTGGCCCTCTGTGGTGGCCTGTGGCCCTCCACGCTGGCCTGTGGCCGTGGCCCGTGGCTGTGGCTGTGGCTCGTGGCCCTCTGTGGTGGCCTGTGGCCGTCCACACTGGCCTGTGGCCGTGGCCCGTGGCCATGGCCCTCCACACTGGCCCTGCAGCTGCCCTCCTTCCTTCAACCGCCTGTTTTCACGTTTGTTCCGACTCAAGCACGGACCTCAGGGCACAAAGAAGGAAAATCAAACCTCCTGAACCCAACCCTCCCCTCTGTCCCTTGAACTCGCGTCCCCACCACCCGCCCTGGGGGAGCTCCTGGGACGTCTCTCGGGCTCCTGCGTGCGGGCACCCGCTCTCCCGTGGGCCACGGTACCCACTGTGCAGCTGCAGAAACAGCCTCGGGGGACCCAGGGCTGCTCCACAGCTGCCCGGGAAATGAAGCCACGAGCTGACCGGCCTCTGCCCGGGACCCCGCGTGCCCCTTGGCGGGTTCCCACGTACATCCTGGGCCCCCCATGTGGCCTGGCCCCGGACGGGACGGGGACCTCCACAGACCCTCAGCCTGTGGCGGGGCCGGAAGGCAGCTGAGCAGCACTAAGGAGAAAGGCCGCCGGTGAGGGGGGCACGGACAGCGGGCGGGCGGTGCAGACACTGCGAGTGGGGTGCGTGCTGAGCGGGGAGGGCGGGGCGGGCCCTGGGAGGCAACCTGGGAGCCGGAGGCCAAGGGTCAGAAGAAGGGGGTGAGGGCAGGCAAAGCTGGAGACCAACCGTGTGGAGGCTGTTGCTCCCCAAGAGGGGAGCAGAAAGAGGGTGAGATTCCAGGCCCAGGGAGACTGGCATGCAACCTCTTTCCCCTCACACTGCCACATTTGGGGAAACCGAGGCAGGGAGGCCCAGAGAGGACTGGAGGCCAGGCCCAGCGCAGCACAGGGCTCCCTGCAGATTCTCCACGGCACGGCCGGCCCCAACGCCCCACTCCTGCCTCCTGGCTGTTGCTCAGCTGTCCCCTGCCCCCCAGGACACCTTCTTCCACCATGTCCACTCATCAAGAGCCTCCCTCCCGGGCCTCTGCAAATGTCCCTCCTCCCTGGAAGCTCCCAGTGGCCCAGGCGGAGCGCGGCACAGCCTGGGCTGTTCTGGTCCACCAAACATTAATCGTCACGTTCTCCGTGCCAGGCAGGTGCCAGGCCAGGGCGCATGGGGCGGGCTCCACTGGCAACAGAGTCACAGCTCAGGGCAGCGGAGCCACGGTGGCCCTGGGTGGGACCAGGGGGCTAGGGGGCTCCTTCTCCACCCCCCTTCCCTTTTCAATTGCGTGCGGTGTGCAGACACGGGCACCCACGGGATGGCGGTGGGGACTAGAGGGGGCAATTGTGGAGACGCAGACCCACAAGGCCCCGTGATCGGTTTTTAAACACGAACACACACAGCCGACCCCCGGGTGCCCCCGACATCTCAAACAACCCCCAGAATGCCTATTTCCTCCTGTTCTTCTTGGCCTGGACAGGACATGGCCAGAGGCCAGGCTGCCCAGGTGTGAATCCCTGATCGGCCCCTGGCTAGCGGTGTGGCTGTGGGCAGGTGACCACCTCTCTGTGCCCCCTTGCCTGACGTGAGAATTAACTGACACCCGTAGGAGCTCCGACGGCACCCGGCCCTGGAGGGCTCAGGAGGTGTTGCTCTCGTCGGGAGTGTGGGGTCTCCCCGTGTTGACTGGAGGGTCTGGAAGGGGCACAGTTCCCCACACACAGGGGGTGTGCAGGCCTCGCTGCACCCCAGCTTGGCGATACCCTAAGTTTTTAAATTTGACTGTGGGTCCCCTAGTCCCGGCCACAGCACAGTCGTCCTCTGGCCCCGCTCGCTCACCTCCACTTTACAGTTTATCTGCCCAGCCGGACCGCATGGCCTGCCCAGGGTCCCAGGGCAACCGCTCAGTGGGGCCCAAGATGGGGAGGCCCAACGCCTCCTCCTGGTACCCCTCACCCCTCAGAAGCCCGTCTGCAGCCAAGAGAGGCCCAGGGCCTCCCACCGCCTGGGGGGGGGTGACGCTGCAGGCAGACTTGCTGGAGGGGACGGGGGGGGGGATGGCTACTTTCTGCAGCCACCTCCCCCTGCCCATCATGTCACCAAAGTCCTTTCCCAGCCAGCTGGCACGAGCCCTCCATTCACAGTGGGGCCAGGCAGGCCGGAGGCCTAGAAGTCAAGTCCATCCCCGTCTCACAGGCCGAGACACTGACCCAAGCTCTCCGGGCCTGGACCATCGACGGGGGAACGCTGAGCCCCACTCAGGTTGGGACCATCAGATGCACCCCCTCCGTGCCCCCTGGGGTTCCCTGACCCCTGGCCTCTCCAAAAACCCCAGCCACTGGGGGATTTTGGGCCAAGGCTGTCTAGAGTCCACCTCCCAGGTAAGGTCTGAGGGCGAGGGGTTGGACTCCCGGACTTCCAGCCTCTGTCCCCAACTGTGTGCCCCTGGGCCTCAGTTTCCCTAGAGGTCAAGCACTGGGGCTTCGGGAAGGGGAAGGGAAAGGAAAGCCCCACAGCCCCCCTTTTCCAGCAGCCAGCGCAGACGCGACCCCGGGACTCGGAGAAGACGCGGCGGCTGTCCGTGGTGCTGAAACCGTGCGGCCCCGAGAGCCGGGCTGGGAAGCTGGGCGGGTCCCACTGGACCCTCTGCACCCCAACGCTCCGGACACACGCACACCCCACATATACACAGCTCACCCCCACTGCCCGCCGATGCACACTCACCTGGGCACACACACGCACATACACCCCATCTCTCCCAACACACACCAGTGACCCACCCCGGAGACACACCCCTAGGGACACACCCCCAGGACCCCAGCCCCCCGCAGTCACATGCTCGTGACCACACACGCGGCCCGCAGTGACACGCATCGTCCACACTCGCAGGCCACACAGCGCACGCCCAGGAGCCAGAACCACAAACATACACGGCCTGTGACCTGCGCCGGGCCTCGCTCTGCGCCCTTCCACGTATCCACCGGCTTAATCCATACCGCCATCCACACCCCCACCGACACCTGGGCACACCACCGGCGCTCGGGCTGGTGCAGCTCAGAGAGGACACAGCGCGGGGCCCTCAGCACGCTCGGCGCCCCTCCTCACGCGGTGACCAGGCCCGCGGACCCGGGACACGCCTCGCTGCGGCGCGGGGCGCAGGTGGCGACCCTGGGAGTGGGCAGTGGCCGCTTAACCCCTTCTCCGCCAGCCTCTCCGGGCGCCCTTTCTTGCCTCCTGCCTCCTTCCGGGCGCTCACGTTCCCCTCTATTCGTCCTCTCCGCCCCTGCGCGCTCAGACCCCGGTGCTGCGGCCCGTGACGCGCGCCCACCCCGCGCGGGGGCTGTCAGGTGCGTGGGCTGGGGCGCGCCAGGGTCACAGCGGGAACCCGCGCGCCTCCCGGCGCCCCTCCAAGGGCGGAGCCTCGCGCGCCCAGGTCACTCCGGGGCGGGTCCCGGACGCGCCCGAGGTCACCGGGGGGCCCCCGAGGTCACCCGCGGGGCGCGCCGCCCCGCCCTCCCCGGCGCTCCAAGGACGGCCCCGCGCGCGTCCGCACCTGAAGTCGCTGTACGGGTGGATGATCCAGGCCCCCGCCGACTTCACGCGCTCCTGCTCGCGCTCCACGGCCTTCTGGCTGCCGAACATCCGCAGCGAGAACTTGTTGACGCCGGGCTGCAGGAGCGCGCCGAACTGCCGCTGCATGAAGCTGGCCTGGCTGCCGCACGGCTCCCCCGCCGGGCCCGCC